CTGGATAAGTTGGAGGTTTACTCCACTGTGGCGACCCCTGATGAATAAAGGGACTAAGCCGAAGGAAAATGAATCAATGAATGAATTGTGCTAGTTGTGTCCTTTTAAACAATTTGACACCAGATCTACAATGTGTAATGCTTAATGGATCACAAGGTAACATCTCGTTCATTTTTAATTTTAAACCATCTATTATTTTGGCCAGAAAAAAAAAAACAAGAACGTTGCTAATTGCTTGTCTATTTTTATCTTATGTATTGAGATAGACTTGAAAAAATAGATAGAGAAAATTAGGTCTACCCAATATCTCTGGCTTAATATCTCTAGGCCCAAATCTCTGCGCCAAAACACTGTTGGTTGTAGCAGTAATAATTAGATACACATATTGTATTTGTGCTCACCTTCTATGGCTGTCCTAAAAAGGAAATGCAGAGCTCTAAGTGGGCCTGTAAAACACAGAAAGGACAATAAATATTGACACACTGAAAGCAGTGCTTTGATTTTTGGTCAAAATGATGAAAGGTCAAATTCAATTAACCCCCAAAATAAGTACCCACCAGGGTAATAAAGACATTACTCAAACCACAGCCATTGGAGAACATTAGCTAAGAGCTCCAACGAAACATCATGTCAAAAGGGTTTCACCAAAATACACCAAATCATGTAGTTTATTCCACTAGATGCCAGCCATATTTCCCTCATTACCTCCCTCTGCTTTTTCTCCTCACTAGCTGAAGTGTAAAAATGTGGAGCTGAGCAGTGTAAGAACTAATAAGGTCCAGTGGGAAACCACAAATATTAATGAAGCCCACTAAAAACTCATATGAACTTCTCAAACTGGTCCAATCATCTATACTAAATCATTTCTTTTCAGCTTCTCTCAAGCCACCCATACCAACGTACAGTATCACACCATCTGTTTCCAAACTGGAAATAGACTGTTTCACATAATTTTCTTTAATGCTGCTCCTAGTTTTGTTAGTCCAAAACTGCATTAAAAGCAAAAATATGCACATAATAAATCTCGCTCGCAGACTAGCAACCATATTCCGCTCTCAAATTCAAACGGAGACAAGAAACATGAATTCGTAAAGTCATGATGTATTTTAGCGCTAAAACAACATCAGAACAACTTACTGGATGCATTTTTCAACCCTCGCAACTACCATCTAATAAGCCAGAGAAATATGCTCTTAGGAGAACGTCGGTGGAAGTTTTAAGTTGCATGTCTGTGGAAAGATGAAGAGAGAGTATATGCTCAGTGATCAAACATGGGCTGCTGTAGAGCTACGGCAAGCAGCAGAATAAGCGTGCTGTACAGCTCATTTCTCAGGCAGAAGCTTTGGGCTTCGTGTGATTGATGTCGAGGTCCATAGAGCAGATCATCTCCCTCAGCCCTCGCATTTACATACCCAGTAACCAGGCATACAGCTATGAAGCTCAGATCTATTTTTAAAACACACTCCAGCAGAGAGAAGACGATTTTTTATTTATGATTAGGAATAAGTTATTCGATAAGCCAATCGCTCTGGCTATCGCTAGTCTCCGACGGTTATTAATTAATCGGTTTATAATTGTAACAAGTTGGGAATTTTTTAAGCATTTTTTGGCACAGTTGAAACCATGTTTGGTTGATCAATTATTGATGTTCCTCTTTAAATCTGAACTTTAATAAATGCGTTGACTTTTCCAGAGAGATTTCATGTACTTTTTGTTTTCTTGAATTCTCTTTCTTACATGGACATGCTCTTGATGTACATTTAACTCTCTGCATTTTTTGCTCTTAAGTAGTCCAAATTGTTTAGCTAATGGTCCGCTCTGCATGAGAATAATTGAAATGGAAATTATCAAAATATTTACCTGCTTTCAAGCAGATTAACTATCCACGCCGGCCTGAATAGCGGGTGTGAGATGTGCATTCACAGGCTTTTCTGTAGATTAACTGTGAAACCATTTAATCATTCATTTTTTAATGTTGCCTTTTTAAAACATCTGGTGAAACTTTAGATTAGGAGTCATATAAACTATAAACTAGTTGAATCAATTTGCTTCCTTTGCGCAGCTGAAGAATAAGTTTTCTCTCCCACAGTCTCATTTCTTTCGTTATCTGCAGGTTTGAAACTGCGTTAAGGAAAATATTTCACAATTTTTAAATAAACCAGAAAGTCATATTATTCAGAATCTTTTATCTTCTAACCCAGTGGTTCTCAGACTTTTTTCACCAAGTACCAACTCAATATAAAAATTGTCTTTCCAAGTACCACCATGATGACTAGTATTGAAATACAGTAGCGTAGTAGGCCTAATTAAGAAAATTAGCTTCAAGTGAATACATAACAAACATTAGAAAATTGAAAATAAAATAAAGGTTTAGCCTATTAAACTCAATTTACTGATCACATTGGTGTTATTGTATGTGTCAAAGGGTTAAAAGTGTGTTCACTTTTTACTTTAATTATTTAGCGATTCGGCAGTTCATTCCACTTTGGCGACCTCAGATTAATAAAGGGATTAAGCCGAAAAGAAAATGAATGAATGAATGATTCAGCGATTCCTCCCTGTACCACTAGAAGGAAGCCTGCATATTACTAGTGGTACATGTACCACAGTTTGAGAACCACTGCTCTAACCCTAATACTAGACATCTGATATCAAGCTTTGTTTCTGCTTTTGATGCACCAATATGTACTAAGCGCATTATGAAAGCTTGGGCCATGGATTTGAATAAAGAAGTGGCTAATGAGATTTGGGAAGAAGCCCCGTCAAGAATAAAGAAAGGTTCTATAAATTTAAGACATAAATTAATCCAATTTACAGTTTTACATCGCCTTCACTTCTCCAAAACTAGATGAAGTAAAATATTTCCCTCTATATTCTCTAAATGTGACAGATGTGGGGGGGCAGAAAAGACTCTGGCACATTTATTTTGGTTTTGTCCTGTTCTATACCAGTTTTGGTCCAAAATCTTTGAATTGGTTTCCAATGCATATGGAACCAATGTCCAGCCTGATTACAATTTGGCTATTTTTGCATATTCTTATATGATGGACACCTTTCCGTTTCAGTGTCAGAATGCCCTGTTGAGAATAAAGAAAGTTTCTATAAATTTCAGATGTAAATTAGTTCAATTGAAAGTTTTACATTGCCTTCACCTCTCTAAAACTAGATTAAGTAAATATTTCCCTCTGTATCTCCTAAATATGACAGGTGTGGTGGGGCAGAAGGGACTCTTGACACATTCATTTTGGGTTTTATACTGTACTTTATGAGTTTTGGTCCAACATTTTTTAATTGTTTTACAGAGCTTATGGAACTAATATCCAACCTGACTACAATCTGACTATTTTTGGATATTCTAATGGACACCTTTCCGTTGCCCAACAGCAAGCCCTGATAGTTGGCATGATTACAGCTAAAAAGAAGATTTTCCTTAATTGAAAATCTCCAAAGGCTCCCTGTTTAAAGAGATGGTTGAACGAGTTGCTTTATGACATTCAAATGGAAAAACTACATCTTGAAACTTTACAGAAAAAAAGCTAAAACCAGATGGGGACCTATTTTTTTGTAAATCTTCATCTGTATCTCTAACCTGGTTTTACAAAACCTAATACTGGTTTTGTAAAAATGTGAGTATTGTCATCTCTTGTTTATATATTTATGCTACATATGTTGTGTGAATTGGTAACAGAGACAATCCCTCTTTTTTGTGTGGAATGGGGGTTATTGTCAATTATTCTGTACTATTTTTCTTCTTGTATTGGTATTGTACTTTTTTGTTAAATATCTTATAAAAGTTAAATAAAACAAAATATTACAAAACTATCAACTAGTGGCTTATTAGCATTTTGGCTGTTTATTATTTTATTATTCTGTATGACCATATTCTAGATTCTTTAGCCCCAACTAAACTACACCTTCCTCACAATCAAGACGTAGCAGATTATTAAAGACAAACGTGTAATAATTAGTGAATATGAGCTTGATGATAGTGTTACCAAACATTCCTGCAAAATAATACTTCAATACAAAAAACTATTTTACGAAAATACACTGTTATGACAATATCTCATGATTTACTGCCATTTTCCATTCATTTACACTTTTAAATTGCATTATGGGACCTTGTAATCTGTTCCGACAACTTTTGATATTAACAATTTAACCCAGTTTAACAAAATAGCCTTTATTGAAATTTCTTGTCGTTTAAAATAACACACTGCCTAAGAAACAGGTTTGAACAACACTGACAACATCTCATTATAAACTGCAACATAATTCAAATAAAGAGACTTTTAAAAGTTTTAACAACTAAAGTTGTCAGAACAAAGTTCGAGATACTATACTGAAATTATTGAGTAAATGAAAAAAGCCTAATTCATTAGAAACTACATAAGACTATTAATTAAAGTGATTCCTTTAAATAATTTAGTGCACCGGGAAATATTTATGTACTCACAGAATATTTTAATTGATTAAGTTCTTAGGTTATTGTGCTAGGTTCATGATTAGGTTATAGAGTTATTGTCAACAATCAGATCAAAACAGTCGGATCTAGTTTCTACACTGATTTGTCACCAAAGTTTGTTTTAATGCGCAAATCAGTAATAACCATATATGCACATTATTTTCACTTTAACTGTTTATAAAACTAAAGAAGAATTTGAATCAATTAACAAAAACTGATTGCGTATCAAACAAATGAGAAAGGATTTTCAAGCTCAGTGAATCCTCACACTTTCAGAAAGTAACCTATGGATTTTTTCCTCCGCCGTATATAGAAGGAAAGTTTCTGATAACTGAAACCCACCGCAATTACACCCAGTGACCAATCAAAACCAAGACGCAAAGCAAAACAAAACATGCGATTGGTCTAAAGCGATGCTGGTTTCAAGGCGCCCCACGTGGAGGGGCAGTGATTCTGAATGAGGGGTGTGTAGAAACCGACGGCACATTATTGTATGTGCGCCTCACTTGCGCTCAAACCTTCCAGTCAGTGGGAAGCGCGTCTACTGAGCGCACGCGAGGCGAGCGAGGAAACCGCACTCTGTTCAAGACAACCAACTGAAGTTTTCCAGCAGACTCACGACTCTCTGAAACACAGCTCGAAAGTCACTGGATGCACAGCGGGATTCGGAGAGCAAGGGAAACTTTAAACAGCAGTCGAAAGATTCTCTCCAGACGCTTGAAGAATAACACAACGATGCGCGCGGTGTGGATTTAGTTTGGATGTATTTTCGGACTTTCTAAAAGGGGGTTTCTCCACATATCCACTCGTTTGCCTAGCATGATCGCTTTCAGACAACGAGAGCTATAAAGGGAGCTCAGACGAGGAGGTTTTTGTTGGTTTATTCGCAAACGAACAATCCACAGAAACTTTTTCTTTCTTGCGGAGCAACCGCAGCAGCTTCGTTTCATTCGGACCGAATCCAAAACAAATGGCTTTCCTCAAAATGCAACACTGTTGTGGAATTACTCGTTATTTTCTTCTCCTTTTCACTGTGGCTCTACAAACGACCAGCGGTCAGTATCACGGAGAAAAGGGCATCTCCATACCCGAGCACGGCTTCTGCCAGCCTATATCTATACCTCTCTGTACGGACATCGCCTACAACCAGACCATTATGCCGAATCTTTTGGGACACACCAACCAGGAGGACGCCGGTCTCGAAGTGCACCAGTTCTATCCCCTAGTAAAAGTGCAGTGCTCCATGGACCTGAAGTTCTTCCTGTGCTCCATGTACGCGCCGGTTTGCACGGTGCTCGAGCAAGCCATCCCGCCGTGTCGGTCCCTTTGCGAGCGCGCGAGACAGGGCTGCGAGGCCCTCATGAACAAGTTCGGCTTCCAGTGGCCCGAGCGGCTGCGCTGCGAGAATTTCCCGGTGCACGGCGCGGGTGAGATCTGCGTGGGCCAGAACACCTCGGACGCGGGGAGCCCCACTTCAAACCCGACGCCCTACGTCCCAGAACTGATTACATTACAGCCAAACCTGGTGGTCAGACCCAACCAGCAATTCACATGCCCGCTGCAACTCAAAGTGCCCACTTATCTGAAGTACCACTTTATGGGCGAAAAGGACTGCGGGGCGCCATGCGAGCCCACTAGACCCAACGGACTGATGTATTTCAGAGAGGAAGAAGTCAAATTCGGTCGCCTCTGGGTCGGCATTTGGTCAATTTTGTGCTGTGTTAGCACTTTGTTCACCGTCCTCACTTATTTAGTGGACATGAGGCGGTTTCGTTACCCGGAGAGGCCCATCATCTTCCTGTCCGGCTGTTACTTCATGGTGGCCGTTGCATATGCAGCTGGATTTTTCCTCGAAGACAAAGTCGTTTGCATCGACAAATTCAGCGACGACGGTTATAAAACCGTCGCGCAAGGCACGAAAAAAGAGGGTTGCACCATCCTCTTCATGATTCTCTACTTCTTCGGGATGGCGAGTTCAATCTGGTGGGTCATTTTATCTCTTACATGGTTTCTCTCAGCGGGCATGAAGTGGGGTCATGAAGCCATTGAGGCGAACTCTCAGTATTTCCACCTCGCCGCGTGGGCAGTTCCTGCGGTTAAAACCATCACCATCCTTGCCATGGGCCAAGTGGATGGCGACATGCTCACCGGGGTTTGCTACGTTGGCATCTACAACGTGGACTCTCTGCGCGGCTTCGTCCTGGCGCCCCTCTTCGTCTACCTCTTCATCGGTACCTCATTTCTCCTAGCCGGCTTCGTGTCGCTTTTCCGCATCAGAACCATCATGAAGCACGACGGCACCAAGACGGAGAAGCTGGAGAAGCTGATGGTGCGCATCGGCGTGTTCAGCGTGCTCTACACGGTGCCCGCCACTATCGTGATCGCCTGCTACTTCTACGAGCAGGCTTTCCGAGAGCAGTGGGAGAAGACCTGGCACATGCAGACGTGCAAGAGATTCGCGGTTCCCTGCCCGGTTAACAACTTCGCCCCCATGTCTCCAGACTTCACCGTATTCATGATCAAATACCTGATGACCATGATCGTAGGGATCACCTCTGGATTTTGGATATGGTCTGGAAAAACTCTGCAGTCGTGGCGCAGGTTTTATAAACGGCTCAGCAACAGCAACCAGGGCGAGACGACGGTATGAGAAAAAGAGCGATCGTTTTCGGTCATGCTTTGGCTGAATGTCTCGTGCGGACTGTTACGCGGAGAGAGACTTGTTGAGTGAGTTTTGCGGACACTACTGTGCGTGGAAACAAACGGAGCCTCATGAACAGTGTTATCAGCCCGAGTCTGTTTAACCATTGGGTTTTCTCGTATATTTGTATGTGGAGAGAGAGAGAAAAAGAGACATTATTTCTGTGTAACACGATGTCATATCTTGGTCACATGTGAGACCTGTGCTCACGGTTGTGTACCTGAAATGTTGGATGTAGTTTGCCTTATACACACATGTACCAACACTTGTTTTAACCGGGGACTTGTATGACTTTCGCAGCCCTCCGTCGACAATCATGCATACTTGTGTGCACACACGGACCGTCGAGTACGCATTAGGATCCGGATTCTTTTATGCATGTGTATACAGCTGTGAATTTATGCAAGCTCCCTTTAAACGACGTAACGTGTAAATAATCACCTTTTCTCAAAGAATATATGTATTTATGGAAATAATCTCGCAGTTTTTTACTTGATTTTTAAAATTTGGTAAGAGACCTTTGTATCTGTACAGTTTCGCTGAATAAAATGATTAGATTTTTAACACACTGACTCGCTTCACTTCTGTTAATCGATTTTCCTTCATAACAGTTCGAGCATTGCATTTGGGATATTTCTAGTTTTTTTTTTTTTTTTTTAAGAAAACTAAACCAGAAAGTGCTCAGAATAACTTTTTGAAAACTGGTGACCAAAATGTGGTATTAGAGTCTGGATTATAATTCATTTTAATTTGATTGAAAGAAGCAGCATAAAACATGCACATGGTCATATATAGCTACACTGTAAAATTCAAAAAGTTAAGGTAACTCAAACTATTTGAGGAAACCGGTTGCAACAAACCATTTAGGTTCAAAAACTAATCCTAATGAGTACTGTGAACTTAATACATTTGAGTAAATGAAGCAATTTGAGCACAGTAAAACCCAAAAAATTAAGAAAACTCGGAAACCGATTGCTACTAGCCATTTGAGTTTAAAAAAAAAGAATCTATATGAGTACAGTGAACTTAATTTAAGTTGAAGTAATGAGGTATTTAACCTTTTTTAAATTAGTAGAATTAACTTTCAGTCAATTTTGAGTTGACTACACTCATTTCATTACATAAAGTTGACTGTTGGGTTTTACAATGTCGTGTTTACATGATAGAATAAAATATATTCGTGTTTGTTACACAAACTCTAGCAGTGTAAATCTGGTGCTGTAGCGCCACCCACAGGCTACTGATATATTGGGAACACTTGATTTACAAGCTGACTTTACAGTATTTTCTTTTTTTAAACTTTTATTTAAAAATGAAGAAATGTGTAAAATACTGGAATACAAGTACATACAGTTACAAAAGTATAAAAACAATAAGTAAATAAGAAATAGAAATGAAGAAGAGAACAAAATAAAGAAAAGGGAAGTACAAAATAAAACAAAAAAACAGAGCATCAATGAATAATTTTCTGGAAGCAAGATGTTTTGTTTGAAGTTTTTATTAACTTGCAGTTTTATTGTTGTTAGATAAACAACTTTAAGCAAGAAATCAATTTTAATTAAGAAATAGGCAAATGAGGGAGAGGATTTACGAAATATTTGTTTGTGAATAAATATTTTTGCATACAATATAAAAAATTCTATACACTATAAAACCCAACAGCCAACTTTATCAAATGAAATGAGTTTTGGCAACTCAAAACTGACTGAAAGCTAATTCTACTCATTTGAAAAGAGTTTTGAACTCAGTGTTGAAGGTAATGAGTTCCTTAAATACCTCATTACTTAAACTTTAAAAGTTCACAGTGCTCATAGAGATTTTAGAGAGTTTTTTAACTCAAATGGTTTGTAGCAATCTGTTTCCTCAAATGTTTTGAGCTGCCTTAACTTTTGGGTACAGTACTCAATTGGTTTAAGTTCTCTTCATTTATCCGCACTGTAAGAAGTGATGTTTCTTAAAGCGAGTAAATCAATTGCCTTAAAAGCAACAAGTTGATTTCACAAAGGTAATTTAAGTAAACCCATTGTAACTTGGAACTGTTACATTGACTTACTTTTTATAATTATACGTTTACTCACTTTTTAAAGTCAACTAATCCCTTTTTTTACAGTGTCAGACTTCAGCATGTCTGTTGTTAATTAATTATTGTAATTATTACAATATTACATATTTGATACTTCATTAAGTTTATAAATTATATGTAATTTAGAAGACACTCTGGAGTCAAGAGCAGATTTATTTTAGTTATGTCATTTTGCAAGAGACAGGAAAGCTGGGGGAAAAACAAATATAATAAAAGTGTATTGGAAAAAAGTGAATAGTTTTTTAAAGTGAGTACAATTTGCATAATAATAAAAATTAAGTCAATGTAACAGTTCCAAGTTACGATAGGTTTACTTACATTATTTTTGTAAAGTCAACGTGTTGCTTTTAAGACAATTGGTTAACTTGCTTTAACTAACTAATCACATTTTACAGTTGTACTTTAACTTTTTGGGTTTTAAAGTGTGTGTATATATATATCGTCACCTTGGAATTATAAGGTTCTATCTGTGTTCTGAATGATTTTGAGATATTAAGCTTTAAAATTTTTGCATTCCATAGCAAATATTTGTGTAACATATGTTTTTTTTTTTTAACACAAAGTCTTAAAATGCAAACTAATAATAAAAAACATCTCATAATATAAATAAGTTGTCATTTAATAAGTAACTCAATTTTGACAAAAATGTTAGATAGAACCTTAGAATTCGTTATAGTATACTATAATACACATATATAAATAAATAAATAAATAAATACATATATATATATATATATATATATATATATATATATATATATATACATACACACACATATATATATGTTTATTTAATTGTTATATATAAATATATATATATTTAATTGTTATATATATATATAACTATTAAAATCCATCAAGTTAAAGAGTTGTTTCATTGATTGTGTTTTATTTAAATAATGTAAATCAGACCAAACCTTTTGTGAGATTTTACATGTAAAAGAACATATGAGTCAAAGTTTCCTGATTTACTGACAGAAAAAACAAGTATCTGCAATATCAGTATATTTTGAGATAAATGCATTGATTGTATATATTTTGTGTAGAATTTTCAAATGGATTTCCTTTGCTTTGTTTGGGATTACATATTTGTATGGGAGAAGCCATGTTCTTTTCCAATAAATATCATGTATTAACACTGACCAATATGATTTCCCTCTTGAAGCGATTAGATTTTTTTTGTTTAAGAATTAGAAGAGTAATTTTGTTGTTCAATTTTTTATCTTATCTACTCATACTGTCTCATGATAAGGAGGGTTCTATGGTTCTTTTATTAAAATATAAAAAATACCATTTGTTGTTAGTTGCATTAGTTCTTTTGGGATAGCATTTACAATAGTGTTAAATGTCTTATAGTATATGGGATAGGAAACTGATGAATTTTCATAAATTGTTCAAAAGTTGATAAGTTCCCCAATTCAACAAACAAGGAAAATAAATCAAATATATTACTGCCGTACAAATTAGGGAAAAAAATAAACATTTATTCTTAATTGTAATATCCATGTTGCTCCATAAAAATGTTTTTTTGTCGGGAAAAATGATGGGAATATTCTCCAATCAAGTAATGCTTGCTGGTAAAAGTTAGTTAATTTCATAGGGAGTTTATTTAGAGCAAAATTACACTTCAAATAAATGGGAGACCGCCAATTTTATAACCAATAATTGGCAATTTGTTGTATTACCAATTGACTTTATTGTATTACCAGTAAACTGCAAAAACAAATTACATTATTTTTTTAAAAACAAGTTATATTTTATCTAACGCAGACATTTAGGCTCCATACTCAACATCATCCATCTCTTTTACTCTTGACTGGCTTTATTGTAGGCGATTTAAATTGCGTTGAGTGAAAACAGCTAGAAACTATTAAGATTTGTAAATGTTTTTAAAATAAAATCGTAATAGTGAAATATTATATTAGTTTTAAATAATGGTTTTCTATTTAAATATAGTTGAAAATGTAATTTATTTCTGTTCTTTCAAAGTTTAGTTTTCTAACATCATTACTCCAGTCCAATGATAATTTTCAGCTCAATTATGATTCATTTCCATTAGGCCTAGTGCTTACTCGTGGTTCTTAACACTGTTGAAACAATAAAAATCTAAATAACAGCATTTAAATTGAATATTTTTAACATAATAAATGTCCCTTCTGATCCGTTTAACATCTCCTTGAAGGAAAATTAATATTTATAAACAGAATGAGCAGTATTTATGATACATGTATTTCAAATATGTATTTTAAATACAAAGTAGTATTTTGTATTTAATAGGGTTTATGAAAATTGCTTAATATTTTGTATCAGAATACTTCAGTGTCTTTTTTAAAATACTGTAAAATACTTAGTAAGAAATCTACATCATTCTACATCATATAAATGCACGCTCTGTTTGGTGCTTTAAATTTTATTGGCTCTTCCATTTAAAGAAGAATTGTAAATATCTTAGGAGTAATAATAGTAGTTTTGGATGGATTGCTGATGCCAAATGTTTGCAACAAACAAAAATAAACAACAGAAATCAATCCTACTGTAGCGATTCCTACAATACTTGATTGGCTGTTTCAAATGCCTGTAGTTGTTCAGTAGGTCCACGGTATGAAGAGAAAAGATGCAAGCCTTAAGATGTCACAACATATGAAACACAAATATTTAATAATCAAAAACAAATATTAGAAATCAAAAAGAGTTCAATAGCAAAAAAAATAAATAAAAATTCTGTGAACAAAAATGTTAAATTAACTATTTATTTAACACCCTTTTAAATATTAAGAGGTTGAATAACCATTGTACAGAGATGATGGCAATTTTACTGGCCATATTCGCTATCAAACATTGTTTACTTCTCAAAGTCAGTTTAATGGGGAAGGGATTGATCGAATAGGTCTAATTGAAGGAAGATTTGCTAAGAAATTTTATCCTTCTTTGTAAAAGTATTTTGTAGTTTTTTTAAAACACAAAATACTATATTTTATTTTGATACATGTTGTGGCTGCAGTATTTTGTAGTATACACCTGAAGTTAAGGTATTTACTATTTTATTTTAAAATATATTTCAATGTATTTTTGCTTAACCCTGTTTAAATTAAAAAAACATGTTTAAATAGTAATTTTTAATGGAAATATATCAGTATTTTCACAAAAATATCAAGTAGCACAAATGTTTTCTATATTTATAATAATAAAAGTGTTTATTGAGCAACAAAATCTGAGTATTTGAATTATTTTTGGACAATCATGTGCTATTTAACATAAATGAACAAATTAAATAGAATAAAAAGGTTAAAAATAGATCATATTATTTTAAGATTTTGCAGTGATGCCAAAGAAAATTAGTTTTCATAGATCTTATCAATTAACGTTTTAATCCTTATTTATTTATTTATTTATTTATATATATTTTTTTTATTTATTTATTTATTTTTGCTTAGTGTAAAGATCATTTTAACACCATTTGAAGACCATTATGAGCTTTCCTTGTAATGGAATGTGTAATGGAATAGATTCCTTAGATAAATCTTCACAGAACATTAATGTTCATAAATAACCTTAATTTTTTAAAAGTGTGTAGACAATGTATATTGGACAAACTGCACAGAAAAAGGAATAACCAAAATATCCGCAAAACTTTCAATAACTGATTTTTTCAATAAAAATAAGTAAGCATTTAAATTTAAAATACTGAAAATAAGATAAAAAATCATATAAAGTAATGTTTGCTGACCTTAACGTGAAGTCTTTAGCCCTATTTTACTAATGAGGAGTTTTAATAATTCCAGTGTGGGTTAAAAACCTCCAGGATTACAGGCTGTTTCTGCTTCCTGCACACAGACTAAAGTTTGAGAGAAAAAGCGAGGCTGTGCTTCGCGGGTGCAGGCAGGTTAATGGTAACTATCCTCACATTCTGCCCTCATCAGCCCATTACGCCCTGCAGGTGGTAAGACCAGGGTTCTGCTCACCGTCACAAAGCATGATCTCATAGAGTAATAAAACGATTCACCACGTAACACAAGGCACATGGAGATGTGGTTATGAAGGCCTGCGCTGTGGTTCAGAGGAATCCAGAGCAAAGTGAAGACATATTTACTCTACAGTAAACTCACAGACGCTGAGTTTAAACCTCTAACAGATCTGAGAATGTTAGAGCATAAGAGCCAATCTCTTCACAACAAGGTTCCATTTATTAACAGTATTTCACTGTAACTTACCTTTGATTCATTTACAAAAGGTTTAGTTCAGCCAGAAATGAAAAGCCTGTTATTAATTACTCGCCCTCATGCTGTTAAAACCCTCTGAGATGTTTTCTGAATACAAACTAAAATTGTAAATGAATTGGTAAATATGGACCCCTATCAAAGGCATATGATGTCCATGTTATATGAAGTGATTCAAAGAACTGCCTCCCCATGCCTATAGGTCTTATAAAGCAAAAGTGGGAAGAGGAACTGGGACTAGAAATTACACATGGTCTTCTACAGTTTAGGGTGTTTCATAGGCTTCACATATTTATATGTGAAGATGTGGTTTGGAGCCAGCAGATCGGAGTCATATGTTCTGGGGATGCCCTAGATTAGGTACATTTTGGACCGATATCTTTAAATCATTAACATCTATATGTAAAAGATATGGATCCTAACCTTTTGACTACAATTTTTGGTGCAGTGCTAGAAAAAATGCACCTATCAGCTAATCATGCAATCTCTGCCTTCTCTTCATTATTGGCCATGCCAGATGCCTGATTCTTCTATGGTGGAAAAAAGCAAACCCACCATCCCACAAACCCTGATTTTAGAAGTGTTATCACATCTTAAACTCAAGCACCTTAAATACACCATCTGAGGCTTAACAAAAAAGTTAAGTTAAATTACAAGTTGAGTTAAATTACAGAAATCTACCTAAACATAAAATTTAAGCAAACTTCTGTAATTTAACGTCTGTTATTCAATGGTAAATTTCTGTAATTTAACATTTGTTATTCTGTGGTAAATTTCTGTAATTTAATATCTGTTATTCTATGGTAAATTTATGTATTTAATGTATGTTATGCTATAGCAAATTTCTGTAATTTAATGTATGCTATTCTACAGTAAACTTCTGTAATTTAATGTCTGCTATTCTACAGTAAATTTATGTAATTTAATATATTTTATTCTACAGTAAATTTCTGTAATTTAATGTCTGATATTCTACAGTAAATTTCTGTATTTTAACGTCTGTTATTCTACAGAAAACTTCTGTAATGTAACATCTGTTATTTTATGGTCATTTTCTATAATTTAGCATTTGTTATTCTGCAGCAAATGTCTGTAATTTAACGTCTGTTATTCTCTGGTAAATTTCTGTAATTTAACCTCTGTTATTCTATGGTAAATTTCTGTAATTTAACGCATGTTGTTCTACGATAAATTTCTGTAATTTAGCTCCTGTTATGCTATGGTAAATATTTGTAATTTAACGTCTGTTATTCTACGGTAAATTTCTGCAATTTAACATTTGTTGTTCTACGGTAAATTTCTGTAATTTAACATCTGTTATTCTGTGGTAAATTACTGTAATTTAACGTCTGTTATTCTATGGTAAATTTCTGTTATTTAACGTCTGTTATTGTTAAGTAAATTTCTGTAACTTAACATCTGTTATTCTATGGTACATTTTTATAATTTAACGTATATTATTCTATGGTAAATTTCTGTAATTTAACATCTGTTATACTGTAGTAAATTACTGTGATTTAACATATGTTATTCTGTGGTAATTTAACATCTGTTATGCTATGGTAAATTTCTGTAATTTAACGTCTATTATTTTATTGTAAATTTATGTAATTTAACGTCTGTTATTCTAAAGCAAATTTCTGTAATTTAGCGTCTGTTATTCTACAGCAAATTTCTGTAATTTAACGTCTGTTATGCTACAACAAATTTCTGTAATTTAGCATCTTTTATGCTATGGTAATTTTTTGTAATTTAGCATCTGTTATTCTACGGCAATTTTTTGTAATTTAACATCTGTTATTTTACAGCAAATTTCTGTAATTTAATGTCTGTTATTCTATGTTAAATTTCTGTAATTTAACACCTGTTGTTCTACGGTACATTTCTGTAATTTAGCTCCTGTTATGCTATGGTAAATATCTGTAATTTAACGTCTGTTATTCTACGGTAAATTTCTGTAATTTAGCGTGTGTTATTCTATGGTAAATTTCTTTAATTTATCATCTGTTATTCTACAGTAAATTTCTGTAATTTAACGTCTGTTGTTCTATGGTAATTTTCTGTAATTTAGCATCTATTCCACAGCAAATTTCTGTAATTTAGCGTCTGTTATGCTATGGTAAATTTCTGTACTTTAACGTGTTATTTTATGGTCATTTTCTGTAATTTAACAGCCGTATTTTAATGCTGCCAGAAAAATAACATAAATTTATGTATTTTTTTACAGTGTGTTAAAAATGTTGTTCAATATGTGTGTTGTGAGAAAATTAAATACTATACAAAATCAATAAAAATATTGGATAAAAGATTGATGAAATCAGAGACCATCTTTGGAATCCAAATGAAGATATTTCAGAAAAAATCCGAGAGCTCTCTTATCCTCCATAGCCAGCAGTTGTCCCAAGACATTCAACAGTTTGGTGTGCCAAAAAAAACTGTAAATATGACTTTGTTTGCCGTTGTCTTCTCTTCCGTGTCAGTTTTTTATGGTACAAGTATACTACTGGCAGCACAATGTATTTCCAGCACAACATTCAAGCATTGTATTGCCTGTAGTAAACGCGCACCCTGACCTAAGACATACAACATTAGCAAAACATTACCAAAGATGTTTTTTTGCTTTATCAGCAGCTCACAAAAGTGTTCATGGAGCTTTATAAGGTTACATTTGAACCACTAAAAATAACATAGAATGTTTTAAATATGTTGTTCAAACATGTTACAATGTTGGAAACCGGTAACCATTGGGTTTCATATTTGTTTTTTATACAATGGCTGTCAATTTTTACAGGTTTCCAACATTCTTCAAAATATCTTAATTTGTGTTCAACAGAACAAAGAACTCAAACTGGTTTCAAACAAGTGAAGAGTGAGTAAATGATGACCATTTTGGGGTGAACTATCTCTGTTAGCATTAACAAAATGAGACCTAAATCTACAGTTTTCCCCAATATGCTGATCCCAAACATGTTTGTTAGACACAATAACACCTGCTGTCACACACCACGCAATAACCTCACCCCCCCCACCCCACCCCACTCTCCACCTTTCTTTCAATGTCTCGTATGTTTTTGTTTCTCAAACTGTCACGGTATCCTGTCACATTACTTAAGGACATCCTGCAGGTCTTTTAGTCATACATTTGAACAATTTCTCCCGTCAGTTTGATTGATGGAGGGGTTTTCTGTAAAGGAAGCAAAAATCTGCTTCTCGCGGCTCAGTCAATAACACTATAATTAGGGATGTACTATCCTGAGCATATGACAGGATGAGTCCCTGGCTCAAGTTATTCACAAAAGCTCTCATTTAGCATTTGTTTGTATTTTTGGCAGGTTTAGCAAAGGTAGTCAGAGTTGCTGGTCTGACCAGGAGGGGGTAATTGCTTGGTTGCAACCAAGGCAACATGAAAACAGTGCTGTAGAGAGGAGCTGTGAAGAACCTGGCAACAGAAAAAACTCAGCAAACACAGACATTCACAACATGGGACGAAATTGCTCTATAGCATGTAAAAAGCAGCGGGTGGGGATGCTGAGCGAACAAGCAAATGCATTCTGAATTAAAGCAAAATGCTCAATGAGGAGACGAGCCCTGCGACACAATCAACAACAGTGAGTATAAATGTGTTGAACAACTGTGGAAAATGCTGACTCCGCTTTGCTTAATTTATGCTGTTTCAGGTTCTTTGAAACTAAGAAACAAAAAACACTACAATGCAATAATTTTAAAGTAATAACAAACATGATTTATTTTAGTTTCCCAAAAAAGCCTTTCCATTGACAGTATATTACCTTTCGGTTTTCACTCTTAAATGTATGGCTTTTTTGGTGGTGATGGTCCCACAAAGAATATTTTTACACCTATGGAATCTTTTATTTTATTAAAAGGTTCTTTACACTTTTAATAAACAGACCCGTAGCCTGGGGAGGTTGGGTGGTTCGAAAGACCCACTCCCCCACTGACAAAGGTTCAGAATTTGTCCCATACATGGGCTCATTTGTTCAATTTTGACTGCTAAGCCATTAGATTGTGAAAATAACCCATCAAAAGCTTTAGGACCTAGTGGAATCGGATGGAAGTGAGGTCATCTTACTGACCCTAAAAGAAAAAAATGACCAATTTTTAATAGTAAGGCTGTTGCTGTTATTCTTGAATTTTCAAATGTACTTCATTTACAAAAGAGTAATTAAAAATCGTTTAGCGCTACATTACTATTATTATTATTATTATTATTATTATTATTATTATTATTATTATTATTATTATTATTATTACTATTATTATTATTATTCATTAATTTATTCATTTATTCATTTTCTTGTCGGCTTAGTCCCTTTATTAATCCGGGGTCGCCACAGCGGAATGAACCGCCAACCTAGTTTTTTACGCAGCGGATGCCCTTCCAGCTGCAACCCATCTTTGGGAAACATCCACACACACATTTACACACACAGTCATTAACTACGGACAATTTAGCCTACCCAAATTCACCTGTCTTTGGACTGTGGGGGTAATCGGAGCCCCAAGGAGGAAACTCACGCGAACGCAGGGAGAACATGCAAACTCTCTCTCTCTCTCTCTCTCTCTCTCTCTCTCTCTCTCTCTCTATATATATATATATATATATATATATATATATATATATATATATATATATATATATATATATATATATATATATATATATATATATATATATATATATATATATATATATATATATATATATAGTTTTTTACACTACAACGAAACACCCTGTCTTCATGAAACCCTTTAGTATATGCCAATAAATAACCTTTATTTTATGCATTACAGTTGCAGCACTATCAATTTTACAAAGTTGAACTCAATTTGAAGTGATTTTAAAAACTATGATCACTTTTTTTTCAGCATTCATTTTAAAGAGCATTCAACTCCACAATGAAAGATTTTGTCCTGTCATTGTTGAGTCGTGGGTATGCCCAGTTTGTGCCAGCTGAAGACGGTCATGATGGAAGACTGGAGGTCTGTTTTGAACCAGAGGTAAGCGTTTCTGAAGCCAAATTTACACGGCATATGTTTGAAAGTAGAATTTGTTTGTCTTGACACAGACTGTTTTAATGCAGCTCTGAGCTGGCATGAATGAATTTACACAGAAATTACAGCAGTATAAACTGGCACAATGGCCTGAAATGGGTCAAAGTAGTTTCATTTAGCAGTTTTTACACAGAATCGAGATCAGACATACAAACGGTTTGTTTATTTGAATGCACTCAAAAAAAAGTCAATGAAAACAGGGTCTTTTCGAAACTAGGACTACTTTAACTGGAAATCCCAGCCTCCCCTGCTGCGTCTCACCAGGAGTGGACATTTTTTTGGAGGCCTGGAGCCGGTACCTCCTAAGACCTACAGTACGAGAAGAGGACCTCTTATTCTGTATTCAGAAGATCTGGCACACGCATATCAATCTGGCCAGGTGAAGAGGAAGAGGAAGGCTCAGAGCTGCCCAAAACAGGAAGTTGAGAAGCAGCTGCACACACTGCAAGACCTGACTGGAGCGATTCTGGCCTTTGGAAAAAAGAAGGTACTTTTGTGAAGTAGAGTAGCGGTTCTAAAAATGTAAACATGTACAACAAATGTTACTACTTTTACCAATATAAGCTCATTCTGAAAACGTAGCCCTATATACATTTCTATAGATCACAAATTATGTTGCCAGAGCTGCGTTTGGCTGCATTTAAACTTTAAAACAAAGGCTATGGGGCAGTATGACCCTCTGGCACTTACCAGATTACCGCCTATCTCCGTATGGATGGCTTTTCCACTGTTACCAGTTTGTCGGTAGCTCGACATGTATGTTGTCAAACTTGATAAGCAGGGCTGAGTTGACCATGACAACAGGGTTCCAGTTCCATGAAGAACAGTTCCAGAAAGGTAAGACAAAAACAGAAGCCAAAAAATAAAACACACAAGTAAAAAAAACAGGGTGAGAATGTGGTAAAATCTGAAAACATGGTAAAAATCAGGGGGCTTTTCTTTTTCTGGATTGTTTTTTTTAAACACTATCATTTGGATTAGGGAAGGAGATGGGGTGGTCAATCGGTGCTTTTGAAAACACTATTGGTTGGGTTTAAGGAAGGAGGAGGGTGGGTCAGTTGATCAGTTGATCAGTCGATCAGTCAGTCATTCAGTCAGTAGACACTCGGTAGCGGCCTACAAATTTGAGATCTGAAAAAGTGTACACAGCCCCCTCTGTTGGATTCACAAAAACTGCAAAAAAAAAAAACGTAGCTCCTGGGACATATTTTGTCTTTCATACAGGTGCACAAAAACAACTAAAAGCACCTTATGATGTATGTCAGGCTAATAAAGCTGGTTGTCACCATGTAAAGAAATACACAAAAACCCTCCTGTATCCTGCCATTGCTGTTTTAGTTGGCAAGTGCTCATGCATTATGTGTGCATAATGTCATCATTTTGCTATTGTGTTTGTTCATTTTATTCATTAATTTTCTTGTCGGCTTAGTCCCTTTATTAATCCGGGGTCGCCACAGTGGAATGAACTGCCAACTTATAGAGCAGGTTTTTACGCAGCGGATGCCCTTCCAGCCGCAACCCATCTCTGGGAAACATCCACACTCACATTCACACACACACACTCATACACTACGGACAATTTAGCCTACCCAATTCACCTGTACTGCATGTCTTTGGACTGTGGGGGAAACTGGAGCACCCGGAGGAAACCCACACGAAGGCAGGGAGAACATGCAAACTCCACACAGAAACACCAACTGAGCCGAGGTTCAATCCAGTGACCCAGCAACCTTCTTGCTGTGAGGCAACAGCACTACCTACTGCGCCACTGCCTCGCCATATGTGTTTGTGTATTTAAAAAAAGATATAGGTAAAGTTTTTAAAAACTGCTCGTTAAAACTTATTTTTAACAGTGTAAATTTGTGTAGGCTCGTCAAACAGTGGTGGTGTGTTAATATATGATGGAATTTGAAATATGGTTAATGTGTATTGTTTTTCATACCAACAAGCATTTATGGTAGACCAAAAATAACAAGTATAATAATTAAAAAATAAATAAATAAATTATATATATATATATATATATATATATATATATATATATATATATATATATATATATATATATATATATATATAATTTATTTTATTTTTTAAACATTTATTTTTTTATTTGTTGGTTAGGTTTAGGAAAGAGTAAGGGTGGGGAGATCGGTCGGTTGGTCAGTCATTCAGTCAGTCGATAGCGTCAGCGTCCTTTTTTTTACGTGAGATCCGCAGGCACGAATGGCACTTATGAGAGAGAAGAAAACCTCCTGGGACGAATTTGACACTCTCCAGAAATGTATATAGAGGTATGTAATCAGAATGAGCTTGGCTTGGGTAGTCAACACATTGACCTTAGTCTACTTCTTAAAAGCATGAAAAAAATAAAAAATTTAATCCACTGTACTTTAGAGTTCCTCTGTTTTTAGGCTTTTTATTAAATGTTGTTAAGTGGTCTTTGTTTGATTAACATTGTATTATATGCAGGTACAATCCCGCGCACCCTTCCACAAAAAATTGCACTTTATTAATAATTTCTGTTTTACATCTGCGTACTATTATATTTAAAGGAATAGTTCACTCAAAATTAACATTCTGCCATCATTCCCCCATTCTCCACTATTCACATTGTAAAGTCAAACCTGTTTGAGTTTCTTTCTTTATACTAAAGAATAGGGGTGTCAAAATGAATTGTTTATTCGGTGCACCGCGATGCAGATGGGGACAATTCGATATCCGTTCAGTAATAGTCATTACCGGTTATTACGTACTTATGTCATTGATCTCCTATGCACGCTGTCATAGTAGAATACTATGGCAAAGGAGGCGAGAGCGAGTAAATAAAACACTCCAACTACTTAAAAGCTTGATAATTATGCACAGTTCAACTGCTTTAGAGTTTGCTGGACAGTCATTCATTCACAATGAAGAAGGCACAGCACACGAGCTGCTATTTCACTACTAGGGAGAAATGCTGTAAATCTCCATCTCTGCCTCTCTCTCTCTCTCTCTCTCTCTCTCTCTCTCTCTCTCTCACTTTGAACATTTGACCCGCTGGCGTGTTTGTGAGGTAACTTTCTTTACTCATGGGTGTTAAAGCGATACTTGTGAATCCAGACACAAGGGAATTTATTTGCTCTAAATGCTCATGTTGTCTTCTGTGCATGTGTTGAATTTTGTTTTACATTCTAAAAGAGTGTTTTCTTTGAGCAGGTAAAATAAGGGTAAAGTTCATATATCTGACTGCTTGTATTAAAAGACAAAATTGTATTACAAATAGTATATAAATATTAATATAATTATAGATTTTAATTAAAAAAAATAGTGTTGTGAAGAAACAATCTAATTATATATGGAAAGTATTGTCAATGCACACTTGATGCACCGAGATATCGAATTTAACCAAATTAATGGCATTTTAATTGTAATCGAACCTAACCGCAAGATCAGTGTAGCGTCACAACCCTACTAAAGAATGTTAAAAACCTGCCGCCATTGACTTTCATACTATTTTTTTGTTCCAACTACGGGTGTCAATGGTTTCCTAAATGCTTCTTTATTCAACAGAATAAAGAAATTCAGAAAAGATTAGAACCGTTTATTTTTTGGAGTAAACTATACCTTCAATTACAATAGTCATTACATAAATAGAGTAACTAGTTAACCAACCTACTCAACGTTATCTTAACCCATGTTACCTTATACAGCCCAGTACTTTATTACACAAGTACACTGTAAATATATGTTCAGTTGTAACGAGGAGCCTGACACGGAGGGATCCATTTGCAGTATATTTATTAGACACAGTTGAATCACAATCATACAACACGCACTTGCGTGCGAACTCCCATCAGTAGTATTCAGAATGGGTCTAAGGGCTGGCGGCTGGCAGTCAAGGAGTGATATAGCAGACATGGATCAGTGGCAGGCGTCGCAGTTCAGAGTTCGAGAGTCGATATCAGGCGTGGTTCAGGGCAGGCAGCGAGGATCAGAGTCAAAGTACAAGCAAGGTTCGGGGCAGGCAGAAGGCAACTCAGAGTCGGAAACAGTCCAGGTAATAAACGGGAGATCAGGCAAGGATATAATGCTCAGAAATGTTAGCCAGGGCAGAACAAGACTTCGCACTGGACTGGAGTGTGTGTGCTGCTTAAATGTGTGAGCGTGGGTCATTAAGTGGATGTGCTGCAGGTGTGCAAGCTTGTCAGTGTAAGTGGATGATGTAATGTTCAGAAGTCCGGTGATGGTGGCCTCTGCTGGTCAGCGAGGGGAGTGACTGGGACCGAGTCGGTGACATCAGTACACATACTGTAAAACAAAGTGGCTTTCTTAAAAGGTCAATTAGGATGAATTCTAAAAACAAAACGTCTTTAATCACAATAACACTAGCTATGTTTTCATCCAAAAATGTGAATTATATTTATGCGCAAAACTGGAATATATCATAAAAGATGTGCGAATAAAGCAGCGTTTCCCCGAGTCAAAGAGAATAAAATCGTCACTTCCTGATTAACTGGCACCAAAGTTCAACAGTAAAATGGAATGTACTTGTGAATCTTTTCTTTATTTAATAAATGGTTTTCACCTCAGAAGATGATGCAGATACACAATGACAATGAACTCTTGGTGGCGTTTGAAGCCATGAGACACAGAATGCAGAGGCTATTGACAGTTCTGGAGGTAAATATTAATATAATAACACTATTACTGAAATGGTTACAGTGTTTTAGAATGACCAAATCAACATTTTAGATGTTTTGCAATGTGCTCAGCCTGCGGCTTTGTCCATACACACACATTTTTATCATCACATGTTCTCTTATGACAAAATCACATGACTTTTTTTAATGAGCATACTGGAATTTGTTCAGTAAAAGTGTTTCTATAGCAGTTTATGCACATATTTTCTTATAGAACAAACATTTATCCTACTCAGTTTTGTGCATATGAATTTTTTATTTGCAATTTCAAAATTCATGTGCATCTTGGCGTTTCCATCAACTGATTTTCCAAAAAGCGCATTAAAATAGGTGGATGGAAACGTAGCTAATGTGTAATTAGTAGGTGTTAGTATAATTAGTGTTAGTAATTAGTATAATGTTCATGCCAAGGTCATACATTTCTGGAAACATCACTCAGATTGACTGCTCTGGATCTAAAGGTTTAATGACGAAGTGTAAATAGCATTACATCCTGAAAAAAACGTCAAAACAGAGCAGTCCTCTGAATGTATGAGTTAACACGCGCGTCCATGAGCGAGTGCTGCATGAAACGCTTCATTATCTGTCAAACTTCTTCAGTTAAGAGGCCCAGATCTCCTACAAATGAACCATTGTGCAGATCAGCCCCGAAGTTCCTCCTGATCTGGGACGTATGTCAGTCCACAGTAAATCTCCCACAATTTTACTGCCCAGAAAAGTTGAAACTCAGGTTCAGGTCAGGGTGACAGACTCGGCAGGCGGTATTAGCTTACCAGGTCTGATTGGCGTACCTTTAACTCTCCTG